TCTAAGAAAAAAATCCCGAAATTTTGAATTCACGGAAAAGTATCTTTTTTCAATTGTTTGCTGTTAATAAACTATTTGTCGGAGAAAATCAGTTAAGGTATCAAAATATGCGTAATTACCTCTGCTTTCGATCAGACTTTTAGTAAATATAAACTTTATGTACGTAGGTATGAAAACACTCGTAACTTCTACAGTTTTGGTGTTTCCATTCTCAAATTTTTACAGCTTACTCCATATTCAGGTTGAAAAAAAATAAAAATCAAACATGATGAACTTAACAAAAAAATAAAAAATAAAAAGATTCAATATTTTAATGCATTTTTTTCATTTGAGGTAATTACGCACATTTCGATACCTTAACTGATTTTCTCCGACAAAAAGTTTATTAACTGCAAACAATTAAAAAAGGATGCTTTTCCGTGAGTTCAAAACTTCGGGATTTTTTTTCGAGATTTACGAATATCTTGACGAAAAAAAACAGGTGTCTTCTTTTTTCCGATAAAGAATGCAAAAAAATATACTCACCCCCAAAAAAATATTGAGGCGTAAATATTTAGGGGATTCACAAGACGTGTTAACCGTCGTAAAATCTTAAGCTTAACACTTGTTTATGTAAAATAGCGGTTAAAATAGTTGGGGGGTTGGCTAATTATATATTCTTTATCAGTTTAAAAGAATTTCGGTTTAGTTAGAAATCCCCTAAAACCATTTTAATTAAAAAAGATGTTAACCTTAAGATTTTACGACGGTTAACACGTCTTGTGAATCCCCTAATTGTATGGGATGACCCATATGCAGTTTTATCGTTTAATTCAGCAGTATAACACTCGCTAAATTGCAGTTAAACGTGGCAATGCAAGCTGTCAAAATGCAAAAGAAAAAGTCTAATTTGCCGTGTAAACACCCTTTGCCGAAATAATTTTCGGAAATAACAATTGCAAGTTCAAGAACCAATTGTGTGTTGCCGCATGAGGCGATTTTGAGCGAATTTTTATAAAACTATAAAAATCTTGTATTAAATAATAAAAGTTATTTTAATTAATTTATTAACCTTGATATGAAGTATTTAAAAAAATTAATGCTTTAGACATTTACCAATATAAATGTAAAATAATGTTTTCCTTTCTGTCAGTTTTCATATTAAATTCAAATAAAAAATCTTTTTTTCTTTTAAATCTCTTTCGTGGAACTGGCTATTACCGCGTGTTTCACCAGCAATTTAAATGGAAAATGATTTCTTGTTTTCTGTTGAGTTTTCAATTGTTAAAAGTTAAAATAATTTTGTACTTAAATTGCTTTCGTGAAATTTGCTCTTGGTGGCTGATTTGTGCACATTTTAGCAATATTGCGCATTTTGTTATATTTCATCATCGTGTAGTACATCATCACAGTCGTAATATTTGTTTGTCTAAACTACTTTGTATTAAGTCGAATTATGTCCATGAAAAAGTACAAGGCAATTTAATTGTAATACAATATTTATTTTGAAAAGAAACTTTTCTTTTTTCATTACATTTAAAGAGAACCCCTTACCGAAATGACTTGAAATTTTGGTAACATAAAAGCGAAAATTATTGAGCCTCGATTATAAAAGCATTTCCATGCCTTCAATGGCTTCGCGTCCAGTCATCAGTTTGGTATTCTATAGTATGTATTTATTTGTAAACAACTTTTTTTTATAACTAAGGCAGCTTGTTGAGGATTTAAAAATAAACAATACAGTTGTTCCCAAGTTGATTGCACTACTGAGAGTGTTAATGTGATTATGTGATAAGTAGATATTTGTAGACTATGTATATAAATGCGTCAATCCACACTAACTCATGAACAAAAAAATAGGGCGCAATATTTTGACATTTTTGGCTATAGTAAAAATTTGTTGCATACTTTATATGGAAGAAAATGCACAACAGTATCACACAAAAAATATTAAAAATCAACACGGATTGTTATCCGCTTCAAACTTACTATACAAATTTATTATAATAAAATTAAATGAGATTTCCCTTGCACTAACACTAAATGTAGACCCATTGTGATGCCAAGTGCACTCTTCGACCCGTACTTGTTGCGACGTTCATTCGGGATCTAGCAATTTCGGTAACTTAATGAACTTTAGTAATCTCTCTGATATTAATTTTCACATTCTCCAAAGGTTTTGTGGCGATGGTTTTCCAAACGTTGTATGCAGTCGCTTTTTGCTAAGTCCTGTGCAGTGTCAGAAAAGATGCTGTACACTTTCCTCAGCTATGATAGTAGTCTGGTGCGTTCACTACCAATCGCAAAGCGTATACGCCCATTAAGCAGTGTAAGAATTCGTGTGAGAATGGATACCTCATTCCGTGTTAGTCCCAAGAGTACAGACCTGCCTTTTTTATCGTAAGAGAGCCACGTAAGCCGCGCGATTTCATTCGTCGGCTTTACAGTTGACGCTAGTGATGTGCTGAGTCGATACTTTTAAGTATTGATCGATACTCGGTTCCTATTAAAAAAGTATCTATGTAAAAACTGAATGTAAAATGTACATATGTATGAACATATATCTACATTTTCTGTCGCCACAATGCAGAGAAACAATGAATAGTTATAAGTTCAAAATGGCAATGAAAATGTTGATAGCCACGGCAATTTTGTTGATATGTGGTTTCCAGAGTTGTTCGACGCACACATTGTGCCTACACGTTGTTCAACTTTTGGGAAAGCATCGTCTTATATGTACTAATTGGGGTTTTTTTAGGTGATATATAAACTTCAGATTTGTATTATTGGAAAGTACCGGGTACCGAAAAGGAGTATTGGGTACCGAAATCTTTTTGAAGTACATTTCGTTTAGAGATCTGCGGCATTCAGTGAAAGATCTTTCACTCAAGAGTCTAGGCTGCTTGACTGTCAGAGAAGATAAGTATCTTTCTTTTCTTCTTGGGTCTTCTTACCAGATACCGCGTGGCCTCCTGGATAGCTAGCCCTACAGTGGTCAGGAAGCCTAAAATTTTTCTAGTCCCAGCTCTAGGGAGAAGACTCCTCCTCAGGCCTTTGCGTCGAGTTTGGTGCCATCATATATGTTTATAGCGTTCGGTATGGGAGGGGGGTTGGAGTTTGAATTTCAAGATTGAAGTTGCTAAAAATTGCGTTGAGTTTTAGCAATTTTTTTCCTCGACAGTTTCGATCATATTTGGAAAGATATCTGCGGAGTGCTGCCAGCTTTTCTTTTTATCACATCACAAACAAATATGGCTCGTTCCAGAAACCGCTACTTGGGATTTGCCGATTTTGACAAATCCCAAGTAAAAGTAAACCACACTTTAGAAACTTTAGATGCACTGAAATTTGCTAATACTTTCACAAAAATCGCCGGATTTTTTCATTTTCGCTATTAATTCTTTTTATAAATCATATATTTTGCAATTTAACACAATAAAACCACGTTTCCTGTCGAAAAATTGAATATTGAGAAAATATACTATTTTACAGTTTATTTTATTCTCCCATTCTGCCTGTTGTTAGAGTTTAGTGTTGGACAATTTTTGCTCTTAAAATTAAGAAAATTATGTCAAGCAAAAATAAAGCTACTCAAAAACGCGAATATGTGGTAGATTTCAGACCTTGTGTGGTAGATTGGGTAGGTGCTCAAAAAAGCTGTAGATCTACCACAATGTGGTAGAAGTCCGATCACTGCTTGCAATAAGGAATGTAAAGGCGGATGCACCGTTCTAGTTTTGAACTTTTTCTTCTGAACTAAAACGATGAATCCGCCTTAAGGGCCGGTATTTTGTACCACCCGATAAACAGAACTGAACAGAACTGGATTCACATCAATACCACAGTTTTCTGTCCAGGTAACTCCCTGCGAGTTGTCTCGCGGGTCTGTCAGAGCGGAGGTAATCGCATACGGGAGGACATTGTTAAAAGCCTCGGCTATGTCCAGGAATGCCTCTAACATTTCTTGTGATCGTTGAATTTTCGAAACTAATGACTAACTGCCGGTTTCACCAGCAATTTAAGTGGAAAATGAGTTCTTCACATCTGTCAGTTTTCATATTGTGCTTAACCTGAGTTTCGCCCGAAAAAAAATTCACCCGAAAATTTTTCTTCCGGCCATAGTAAATACATGGAAACCAAAAAATTAAACTCATGGTAAGGCTGAAAAAAAAATTCACATACATAAACTATTTCGTGAAACTGGCTGTAAACCATGGTATAATAATTACAGGTATTCTCTTCCCAGAGAGTTTTGCTTCATATCGAAATTCGTGCCCCCTTATCTTCATTTTGACGCAATTCAATGTTGATTCTTCTAGTTTTATTTGGTGTGGCCTTTTGCTTTCGCTCACATTCGCTGCACATTAATTTATTTACAAGCAAATGATTTTTTCCGGCTTTTACAAACTAAATAAGTTCTCTGCAAGAAGGTTTGTTAAAAAAAAAAAAAATACGTGAACATATATGGTATATAGGGTATGGATATATCCCTTTTCCCAAGCAGTAAACCTTTTAGTGTGGGCAACAATGATATTTTTTAAATAAGGCAGATCGGAATATGCGCTCTCTGGGAAGACAATACCTGTAATTATTGTACCATGGCTGTAAACCTAAAATTTTTTTCTAAAAATTATGATTAAAAAGTTTGAACTTTTGGTGAAATTTGGCTAAATTTTTAGACAAAGTTGTAAATGAGGATTTATATGGTGAGCTAGACTTTTATAGAAATAAAAGGAAAACAGCAAAACATGGCCAGACATCGTTTTTTGTCCGTAAGTGTATGTTTTTCGCGAATTAATGAAACCATCCGCGTCTTAGCATTCCCAAAACCTTTCATTTACACTATAAAATAATCCCCCAAATTAACACCCAACACAACAGTGGTGTCATTAAAATAAAATGCATATCTGTGTGCCGAATGCGCAAATTGAATTTTTATTCAGAAGCCAAATAACAATCACAAAACAATGCAGATAAAGGCATCTAACGACATATACATAGCAGCGATGAAAAGCAACCGAGAGCATTCAACACTAAAGTCTCGAAGATCTCGCCGCCGATCACGGTGATGTGCGATTGTACGATACACAATTGGTTATTTGTGATGGGAAAGTAAAGCAAAGTGAGCAAAAGTTCAACAAAAAGCAGCTGAATTGAAAAATTGTGGAAAATGCTTTCAAATTTGAACATATGTACATACAACGAAGCGGTATGTACCGCTGAGGTAGTGGTAGTTAGTTTCTGTATTGGCGATCGTAAACAACGCACGACATCGTCGCGCAATCAATAATTTAAGCGGAGCAACGGAAGACGACGCTGCCTACCGAAATAGCTACCCGCACTTGCGCGCCACAGCGGTAACAACACCTCGGAGGACGCGGGTGAACGATTCAGCTATTAGTTCGCGTTTAATTGTGGCCGCACAGCTTGGTCCGTCGGGTAGTACATACAAACTTATGCACATTGATGTGTTTACTCGAGCATTCTCGTAAACTAAACGATCAAATAAAAATACTCTGAATATTTTTACGTCGAGCTCAGAGCAAAGAAGACGCACTATAATTTTCAAAAATTGATATTTTGCTTCAAATAAGGAAAAAAAACTAAATGAAACGAGAATAAAGTTATTTGGTATTATTCCGAAAAAAAGTAAAAGTGTAAACAGTCGCTAGACGTTGTGAAAATTAAGTCACCCCGTCGTTCGAGCAATTAATCAATAATTACGTGATTATTTAACCATTTCAGACGCGCAGACAAAAAAAAACAAGGGTTAGCATTCGTTATGAAGGCGCGACGCCACACCACAACGCACACTCAAACGTAATTCGCGTAAATCATTCGTGCGTGCTAAGTGATTTGAGACGAAAATAATTGAAAATTTGCTAATTTAAGAAAATCTAGAAAGGAGATAATTACAAACGAGTGCAAATTGTTAAGTGTTCTTCAACACACCGCTCGAAAAGAAACCTACTCTCTCCCTCTTCTTCGCGCCATTGTCACAAAAGCTTAAAAAGGAAATAAAGCAAAGACTACAAGCATCAACTCTATAAAAACCCTCATCCAACAAAAATGGATTTCATTTCAAATTTAATAAAGCGGCCAATAAGTTTGGTGCGCAGCGATTCTCAGCCCTCAACGCCAACAGATCAAGGACAAATATCACAACCATCATCGCGTCCTACAACACCACACCACTCACATTCACCACTACTACCCTTTGATCGGACCACCACGCCGGAATCACGACAGCAGCATATTGCAAATGCATTGAATGGTTGCCTAGTGGCATCCGATATAATGGATACTTTGAATAAACGTGACGAATTCCGTCCCATTGCAGCAGCGGCGGCAAGTCGCGCCTCTCCACCAATTAGTCGCCAATCTCCTATTCAGCCAATTTCGCGTTCATTGCAAACCAGCTCGAGCAGTAGTAATGACAATGGATGTGGTGCAAATTCACTACCAACTACAACGACAACAACCGGCAACACAATCGAAGAATTGCTCATACAAATCAATGATAATTTAAGCAAGGGTGATCTACATGCTACCGCTGCTGAATTGAGTCAGCAACACTTGCCTAATCGTCCGCTATCAGCATCGCCATCGGCATTGACGCAGGCATTGTCATCGGAGGTATGTGACATTTCGACATTCACACACACGAGCACACTTTCTACGTTTGATTATAATTAGTACGTATACAGCAATCTCTGCGTATGGCTTGATTGAGGTTACTGTGTTATGCTCTTAATAGACTCACTAAAGCGGCAATGCACTAAATGCTTTAATTGATCTTCTACTAATTTGGCAAATTTCGCTGCCTCAGAAAAAAGCTGTATTCAAATTCAGTTGTAATAAAGTGGGAGGTGGTAAATTTCAATCCCTCGATTGTGATTACGCGACAATTCATCGTAATGCATTGAGATCAACATTAATTCCCGTTTTCCAATTTTCAAATGAAAGGAAGTAAATAAGTAGTCTCCGTTTTCTAATGGTTCTCGAATCACAAATCATATTAAACATATATCGTCACCTGAAATGCAAAATAACGTAACAACATCGTCTTTGAAATGAAAAAATTCGGGACCATTTTTTTCGTAAAACGATCAAAAAGTGAATTTTGAATTTTGTTATAAGTTACGAATTTTTGCATTTGAGTGAAAAGCACTAGAGATTATAAACCAAACCAAACTCAACGTTAGAATACTATTAAATATCTAACCTTTTTTCGATAAGTAAGTTCTCTTTTTATAGAAAACTAGTTTGCCCTGACTTTCATCGCTGAGTGTATGAAATTTCTGTGTGTAACGTTTGGTGTAAATAATTTCAATAAAACTCAACATACTTAAACTTAGCCAAAAACATAGGTGATTCTTTTATCTTGTATATTTTTTATTTCGAAACTAGCCAATATCCGGCGTGCTTCACTGCGCCTTAAAAGTATTTTTGTGTTGTTTGATACCCGTATTGTAATATTTAATTTCATTTAAAAATTCTATTAAATGCACAATAAATATTTTCGGCTGTAAGCCTTCTTAAACCCCTTTCTTTTGACAGCCATATTTTAATATTTACTTAAACTGTAATTTTCAAACAGGTGGCAACTCTATCTTTTTATATATATATTTTAAGTTAGACCTCTAGAAATACACCGGTGAAAACTGCATTCAATTTCATGCATTAGTTTTGGAGCTATCCGCGAATAAACATACAGACAGACAGACAAAAATTATTTTCAAAACCGTTTCTATTGATGCTCATATTGTGATAATTCATTTAACTTATTAAATAAGTCGAATATGTCTTCAGCTCAAAAATATTCTAAATGGCCAAACTAAAAATTTCTTAACACTATTTCGATTGACACGCATAATTAATATTTGTATGTACATATATCATATAACTTGTGTATAATTGAATTGAGTTTAGCATTTCAAACAGGTGGAAACCCCTTTTAAAATATTTCCACACTAAAACCTTCTCTTTCGTCTGACACCAGTGTTGCGGGTTTAACAGTTGGCAAGCCTCTTCGAACCTCTAAAAAATATTCAAAATGTTTAAACAAAATATTTCTTAACAGTCTTGGTTTAATATTTCATGTAACTTGTGTATAATTTAATTAAATTTCACTTTTCAAACAGGTGGCAACCTCCTCAAAACATTTTCAAATTATCCACAACCTCCTTAAATCAGTCTCGTTTGACACACACATTGTGATAACATTTTCAAATTAACTCATTCCCTTAATTCAAGTTGGAATTTTCTTTTTATGTTCAATTTGTCTGGGAGGTGTCACGTCCCATTCTCGAATAATTTTTTTAAAGAACTTTGAAATTTTAAAAATATAATATAAAAATTATTTTAAAAAATCAGTGCAATGTGGAAAAACTATATGGGTATTAAATTAAAGAGAAAATCTGTAGAATTAAATATATATATATATATATGTTAAGGACTAATATACACCCGAGCCCATCCTCGAATCTCGTCCTTCTAGCTTTGTAAGCTTAAAAAATAAAATTTACTAAATAAAAGGGTATTTTAGATACCTATTCGTCCTTGTGAACCAAACAAATTTTAATTTTGTTTAAATTGTGCAAAATTTTCTCTTTCATTTGGTACTCATATTGTTTTTCTACATTGCACTAAATTTTTTAAATAATTTTTGGAATCAATCATATTTTTGAAACTGCAAAGTCGTGACGACAGAGAGGAAAACTAAAAACGCAGTTTTACTATATTTGGCCCATAGTTTTGTGAGTATATTGATTGCTTCATGTGTTTCGAAATTTGTTTGTTTTTGTCGCATGGTTTCTCTAATCATCTTCGAACCTTAAACTTTAGAGAAACACATTAAAATTAGATACGTTTTCTAATCGTTCTGTAAACTTAATGTTTGTTAGGAGAAATATTGTTGCTGTTGTCGTCTGTTTCAGCTAAGGGGAGGCCCAGGTAGTGTGCGACTTCAACAGGGTCTGTCCATAAGGACAGGAGTGTCAGCTGGGTGGGGTTCTCAGGACATGTGAAGAGGTGCCGAGAGTCATGTGACGACTCTCTACATGCCGTGCATTGGTTGGGCACATCCTCGCAATAGCCAGAGCGAAGCTCAAGGCCTGTCGATAAGATGACGGGTCCAGAGATTGTTTGATGAACCTCTGGACTTCGTCCGTCAGTTCGTAGGGATGCCTCCATCCCTTACGAGCCTTATCGAGGGCTCTTCTGCAAGCAGCTGTTTGCTAGGATGACCACGTCTGTGGCTCCCCACAAGGAACTGCTTGCAGAGCATTGTGTTATGCTCCTTGACTGGGAACATCAGGGCCTCGTCCTATAGGTGGTGTTGGGCGTCATCTGGAGGCATCCGGCCGCTGTCCGTAGTGCAGTATTCTGGCAAGTCTGTAGCTTCATCCACTGCGTCCTGCTAGTCCCAGGCGACCACACGGGCGCTGCATAGTTTAGAACCGGCCGGCCAATTGCCCTGTATGTTGCCAACAACATTTCTTTATCTTTGCCCCAAGTGCTGCCGGCCAGCGACTTGAGAACATTGTTGCGGCTCTGTACTTTGTTGACAATTGCGGTTGTATGCGCCGAGAAGGAGAGCAGACTGTCGAAGGTAACTCCGGGGATTTTCGGGTTATTCACCGTCGGTATTGTTACGCCATGGACGTGAATACCCAGTTGCAGTCTGACCTCCTTCGTCCAGGTGGTGAAAAGGGTTGCCAAGGATTTCGCAGGGGATAGGGCAAGGCTCCTTGCAGTGAAGAAGCGAGAAAGTTCGGCGAGATAACCGTTTACTTTCGGGCACAAGTCATCAATTTCATTCCCAGACGCCATGATCGAACAATCGTCAGCATAAGAGACAATATTTACAACCTCTGGTGGTTGAGGGAGCTTTGAGATATAATAATTAAACAGTAGTGGGGACAGGAAACTACCCTGTGGTAGTACCCCCTGTTTAATTTTTCGTAGTTGCGGGTTTTGTCCCTAAACATTACTGACGAGTGTCGACCACTCAGGTAATTCGTCGACCACCGTTTGAGTCCCTGTGGAAGTGAGGAGACCTCTATGTCTTATAGCAGCGTTGAATGACTGACAGTGTCGAACGCCTTAGACAGGTCCAACGCTACCAGAATAGTTCTCTCACAGGGGCGGTTTCGGTTAAGGCCACGAGTTATCTGGGTGTTTATCGCGTTAAGTGCTGTTTTTGTGCTGTGCACTTTACGGAACCCATGCTGATGCTTCGCTGGGGTCAGGTGGTTCGTGAAATACGGGAGTAGTAAGGCTTCTACTGTCTTCGCTACCGGTGAAAGGAGGGTTATCGGACGATAAGACTCTCCTTTGTTGGCTGGTTTCCTCGGTTTGAGCAGTGGGATCACTCTTCCCATCTTCCAGATGTCTGGAATGACGAGAGTGACCATTGAATAATTTATCAAAGTCAGTGGGTTGAAAGCAACAATCTCCGCATTTTTCACCTCTTTTGCAATAGCTATTGCGGATTGTATTGGATCTTCCTTAATAAATTGATGTATATATTTTCTTTGGTCTGCCACTTCCTTCTGGTTTTTCATAATTTCCTTTTTTTATATGTTGTTGCTATCTACTGAACAGTAGTGGGTATATAAGGAATCAAAATTACGCGTGTGGCAAATCAGGAGCAAGAGAGACCGTAAAAGTGCCCTTTAGGATATATGAGAGAATATACAACAAAATATTACCCGGAACTTAGTTCACTCTGTGAATAGAAGGCTTAGAGCCATGCCAGATTGTCAAGGTTGCTAAATCTAATACTAATTTTTATTGAATAGTTAACTTTTTAACCAGTTAATCATTTCGAGCTAACTACAAGTTTTTTTTTTTTTTTTTGTTTTGAAAAATGGAGTTTCTTTGCATTGTTTAAGTTTCAGAGCTAAGCGCAGCTATTTGAGTTTTATCGTTGGCATGAAACCGAAGTATCTGTGTTTTAATTATTTTTAATTTTACCTAAATAGCTTAACTGATGGCAGATATATTCATTTTTGAAGGTGAGTACTTTCAATGTGTATTGAATGTACTCCGTTTTTTTTTGTTTTTTTTTTTTTTGGACAGCAACAATCTGAGCATTTTTCACCTCTTGCAATAGCTAAAGAATACTCGAAAATCCTGGAAGTTTTACTGGTTTGTATGAAATGTATTTAAATTTTTTGTTTTTCCAACTTTTTCTTTCATCATTTTTTACCAGCATTTAGCGCAAACTAAACTAGAACAATATCCCTTCAATCCATGTGTGCTTGTCCGATATCGATTCGACCTAATTCCTTTGTGCCGTTGGCCACTGATGCCGGCAAAGATTTTCATAAATATATGAATACATATGTCAATGTATTTATGTTTATGTACTTATGTGAGTACATTGCCTATGCATGCAAATGCTTTGTGTGACTTTAACCTTGTCTCGTTTTTGCTAATTGAATTTCTAGTACATTTTCCCACGTCAACCGCAATAAGCCTACAGTATTTAGTAGAACCCAATACAAAACCGAAAAAGAAAAATGAAATAAATATACAAATAAAAAAGAAAGGTGATTCTGCTTGCCGCTCACTTGTCGCATTGTGCGGATAAAGCCAACAAAATGCAATTCGTACCGTTGTATCTGATTGTGTATGGGCCGCCGTCAACACACGGTTGCAACGTCCGCACCGCACTACATACATACATACATACATTCACCTGCGTTCAACTAATTAGAAACGAAATTAAAAATCATATTGTTTGCAAATTATGTTTATTTTTTATTTTTAATGATTTTCATTTAAATTATAATTCAATCTGAACAGAAACCACAATAATAAATGTTTCAAAGCTTGCAAAAATTGCAGAAGAAGTTTATAAAATTCAAAAAATTCTCATAAAAATTTCCAAATTTTAAATCAGAATATTTTAGCCCAGTAAAATTAGACAAAGTTGGTAGGAAATTTGAAAAAAATTTGGGTCAGCGATTTTTTGATGCAGTTTACTTCTATTTGACACGTATACCATGGATCCACAGTCTTGCCCCTAAATTTAATTTGGCTACATTCCGCCATCTTGGATTTAAGTTTTTTTTTTGGTTTTTTGCGATTTTCAAGCTTATTTTGCATTTTTAGTAAAAAATGGTTAAATACAAATATGTAGAGAATTTAATCACCCACATTTGTTATATAGAAGGTTTTTTGCAAATAGAATTGTTTATTGTAAAAAATTAGCAAAAACTGCGAAAAAGTTTTACCTTGTCACGGTTTTTGCCATTTTTTGACGATTTCTGTTCAAAATGCATAGCATATTGAAATTCCAGAGTTGTAGAGAATTTCAGTCTTCACAACTTTTATACCTACATTTTTTTTGTACGCCGCTTAGATCCCGGCCGAGAACGTGCCAATCATAGCGATTAGCCCAGTAAAATTAGATCAATTTGGTAGGAAAAATAAATAAAAAATTTGTAACAGCGATTTTTTGATGTAGTTTACTTCTATTTGGCACGTAGATCCTGGATCTACAGTCTTGTCCCTAAATTTAATTTGGCAACATTCCGCCACCTTCGATTTAATTTTTTTTGCGTTTTTTGCGATTTGCAAGCTTATTTTGCATTTTTCGCAAAAAATGGTCACATACAAATATGTATAGAATTTAATTTCCCACATTTGTTATATAGAAGGTTTTTTAAAAATAGCATTTTTTATTGTAAAAAATTTGCGAAAACTGCGAAAAAATTCTACATTGTCACGGTTTTCGCCATTTGTTGACAATTTCTGTTGAAAATACATAGCATATTGAAATTCCAAAGACCTCTGTACATTTTGTACCTACATTTGTTTTGTACGACGTTTAGATCACGGCCGGGAAAGCGATAAACATAGCGACGTACGGGATACACCGTAAAACTCATTTCCACACCACCGCTGAAGTAGAGTTTTTCGGCGCGTTTTTGTTATCGTGGTATCCCCAGTAGGCCTTATCCACGGGCAACGTTTTTTGCTTTTCAATGAAAGCAGGTGAAGGTGTGGAAATGAGTTTTACGGAACATCCCGTACATCGCTATGTTTGGCACGTTCTCGGCCGTGATCTAAGGGGCGTACAAAAAAAAATGTCGGTATAGAAGTTGTGAAGACTGAAATTCTCTACAACTCTGGAATATCAATATGCTATGCATTTTGAACAGAAATTGTCAAAAAAAGGGAAAAAAACCGTGACAAGGTCAAAATTTTACGCAGTTTGTGCTAATTTTTTACAATAAACAATTCTATTTGTAAAAAAACCTTCTATATAACAAATGTGGGTAAATAAATTCTCTACATATTTGTATCTAACCATTTTTTACGGAAAATGCAAAATAAGCTTGAAAATCACAAAAAACCAAAAAAAAAACTTAAAACCAAGATGGCGGAATGTTGCCAAATTAAATTTAGGGGCAAGACTGTGGATCCATGATCTACGTGCCAAATAGAAGTAAACTGCATCAAAAAATTGCTGTTACAAATTTTTTTAAGGAAAAGTCTATTTTTACTGAGCTAATTTGGGAAATTTTCGGGTATGCAGTTCTGTAGCCCATTCAATTGTAGTCTAAGAAAGTGCCAGCCTCAAGTCCTTAAAAATTACCGTAGTTTTTTTATAACTTTTTTTTTTGTGGAGGGTGTTGCGAATTATTTTTCATATAAAAAAAAAAACAAAAGTTTGATCATGTGTTATATGGAAGAAAATGCTCAACTGCAAAATTATATAAAAAGCAATGGTAACTCTTAACGACTTTAACTTAACTTTTTAACGACGAGACTTGCACTATCTTAGACTACAATTGAATGGGCTACAGAACTGCATACCCGAAAATTTTTCAAATATTCTGTTTAAAAATTTGGAAATTCTGATAACAATTTTTTGAACATTGATTAATTTTTTTACAATTTTTGCAAGCTGTTTAACTTTTATTATTGTGGTTTCTGTTACAGATTGAATTATGTACATTTTAAATGAAAATTATTAAATATAAAAAAAATTAACATAATTGCAAACCATATCATTTTGAATTTCGTTTCTAATTAGTTGAAAGCAGGTGTATGTATGTATTAAACTAGCACATTACGTTGAACTAATTGCATTTTGCTGCAGAAAACCACAGATTGGGCCACAAAAGTGTAACGAAATGAGTGACGGCACAAAGAAGATGCGAGCGGCACCTGCCTTATCCCAGACCTAGGTGTAGTGAATTGAACTACTAGAGTTGGTTGTATGTTAGCCCACTGTCTGTGAAAATCACACGAAATACAATTTGAAATTTGCATAAAAACAAAAATATGTATGTATAAATTTACAAACGGCTAAAACGTGCAACAAAAACTAATGGACAACACACAAATTGCGCCGTATTTTAGATTCAAAGATATCGGTGGCGGTATAACAGTTCACTGCACCAACATGCACGTCATATGTACAAATATATGTACATACATATAAACCCACATTAATATTTCTATGCACATACTATCCCATCAACACTGCCATTCACTTTGGCGGCTGCAAACGCTTGGCAACCCGCAAAACAGGCACACACGGCGCAAATTCATATTTTAATAGAAAATGTCTTCTTGCGTAGAAGCTTGTGCATCACCTGTTGTTGTTTGTTAGTGTTTTGAATTCGAATTAGATTTTTTCCTTTGCAACAATTTTTGTATGTCTGCCCATGCGATTGCACCCAATTTTATATTTATACATTTCACTGCCAAAGGCGCAGTACAGCGCAAGTAAAATTCGAGAAGGATGCGGCGGCACTCCTGCTGCACTTGGCTTTGCTGCTGTGTAGTTCATTTTCAAATTTTCTTCACGGCCACACACACGTGAACTTCACATATTAGCTGCTGGCATTGGAATTTTTGGTTTTTTACATTTTACTTGTGTTTTTTTCTTTTCTTATAGTTCAATGCAATCTGTTCGAAATCTGCAAATCTGAAAGGCACATCTTCAACAGAATCACAAGAGTCATTGCCATCGGAATCGCTTTCGCCACCTCTTAAATCAGCTGCTATGGCACCTGTGGCTGATAATGCCCCTGCGGCTAACATAATAACCACTGAGAAAGGTCACTGCGATATTGAGCCAAAAGTGGTGGTTTTAGGTATGCCCCCTAATGTGGCGCTCAAAACGGACAGCAATGTGGATAAAATTAATAAATCTAGTGGTATGTAATATATATAGATTTATGGAATTTTCGCCTATAAGAGACTGAATATCATCTTTATTTTGCAGAGGTTCATACGGATTTGAGTGAGCCGAAAATATCAGAGATGCCCACAGCACTGAATTTCAATGCGGAAGGTAAGAAACACCAAAACATAACAAAAATAACAATGATTACCTTGTGATAATGCAGTGGTAGGCACACTCATCGCCTATGCGGTTGGAAGTGAAGTCTTGCGGCAAGTACTTTAATCTTCTTTGCCACGGTATCAATAAAGCAACAGCCGAGCGTCAAATACGTCACTCGTAGAAGCTTTTAGTAAACCAGTGAAGAGTTAGTTAAAAATGCCGTTTTGCAGACACTTTTGAAAAATCTAAAAGTGCACTTAACACTTTTGATTCGAAAAAGACTCATACATATAAAAGTATGGCAAAATGAGCCATATTTTAAATTTTTTGGAAATGCGTTTTATAAGTATTCCTTTAGTTTACTAGCAGAGTAAGTTTTTATGAAAATACAAAAGTTAGACTTAAATTGGTATCTGATGTAATTTAAAAGCTTTTTGCTTCGCTTCTAAAATTTGATTTTCGTCAAAAATGGGTTTTGCATTGATGTTGACGATATGTACATAAATATATTATGGTATCTTAAGCAGGAATCACACGACTGCCTCAAGTGCACCAATCTGCCACATTTTTATTGTGCTGAATTGGCGCACAATAAAGAAATTGTCCCAATCAAATTATGTGCAGTCACACATTGCCTCATTTCATACAATTGTTGTTGCACCCGGTTTATGATGCTTGGGCACAATAAGCACAATATTGGCCTCGATTTGCGATGTGTAAATTTTTTGTGAAATCGCACGATTGGGCTAAATTAAGACAATAATTGGCACATTGCGGAAATTGTGTTATCTGGCATTTACGCTCCGTACGAAAAAATTGGTTCTTTCCTAACGAAAGAAACGTAAAATTTTATCTGTTTTGACTTTACCAAATTCAGAATCATTCAGGAGCTGGAGCATTTTCAGACTGTCTCAACTTCTTACCAGTTAAAGTGTATTAAGGAAATTATACTTCCATCGAACTGTTGTCATGTCCCTTTGAATTTATTTTAAATCTATGTATTTACATGGTGTACTAATAAATCATAGCAGTTGGGGTTTCAAAAAACACAGTTTTCTGTTTCTCAAAAGCCTCATGCCTAGCCCATGCAAAGCACTATGAGAAATTTTACCAATTTTTAATTATGGAAAAATAAGTTAATAATTTTAAAAAAACATTATTTTTTTTAATTCCCATTTCCACATTTTTGCAAAAAAAAATAAAATAAATAAATTAAACCCTTGGCATGCCAAACTGGACATTTGGTCAGTAATTCGACCGAATTTCCCATAGTACAAAGACGGGGCAGAGACACCAAATGTGTTCATCATCCTCTTCAGTGCAAATAAGGGCAAATAAGATTGCCATGCCGATCCCAGTGAGGTGTTTGTGCCACAATAAATTGGTTGAGCAATATATCGTCGGTGATATCGGGAGGGCTATAAATGGTTGAGGACCAAGGAATACTACCTGTTCTGATAGATAATTGGGAGGATATTACGTATTTTCTTCGATATATACTCCAGGTTCTAAGCTAGTCTCAGTTTTGGAGCATCATGGATCTCAACATTGTAGAATATATATTATGTGTAAATATATGTAATATTTAATTGTGTCTAGTATATACAAAATGTATATCCTCAACAATTGCCAAAAACACTACATTACAAAAAAAATCAATATTTAGCACAGAGCATATAAACGACGTCTTAGCTACCCCTAGCTTTGCTAATATTGAAAAATACGTAATGTCCCAATTGTTTCTATCATTTAGATCGCGCAAAGTTAACATTTGAGGATGGTCTTATACCCACATTAACAGCTGCCATAAATGAGCACGAGAATCGTGAAAATGTTCCAGTAAAAGGTGAGAACAAAATTTATTATTATCTTTTTGGAGTTTTTTTTTTCAAAAATTTACTATAGAAAAAATCATGCAACATTTTGTTTGCCAATCGGAAATTTTGTATAATCCAAACCATATAATACATATTTTATTTTTATTTATTTTATTTTAGATGAGTCCAACAGCAAACCAAATCAAAACCTGCAAGTACACATCGAACCTGATACGGCCACCTCATCGGATAATGAAACTTTCGCAGAATGTCAATCATACCAAGCATTGGATGCTAATAATGATTATGGATTTATAGCTGATGAATATAGTTTTGAAAATTCCGAAATTGAGTCGTACTTTAGTGCCGCTAATTCGAGAAATGTAACTCTTACAAATGTAGCCGCAGATCCTTTAAGTTTACCTATGAATAAATTGCCAGAGCAAAGTGAAAGTGACTTGCAGTCAATGCTATCTGCATTGAGCAGTGATGAATTGTTAACACAGCAAACTGTCAATCCATTAGACGTCACTTTTGGCGACGAGCCTATGGATGTGGATGTGAGTTTTGCCGAAATAATTGTTGGAGGCAGTGAATTGCCTATTAACAATGGAAATATATTACCATCTGACACAACCAGTGTAGAAAATGTGGTTGAAACCAAGTCTGCTGCTGCAGAACTTGAGTGTCAGCAAGTGAACTCTACAGAGATGGCAACAAATAACGCAGATCCAATCGATATTTTTGAAAATGAGGCAGGGTATGAAACAACACCATCTCATATTGTTGTACCACTAAATAAAAGTTTCGAAATACCAACTTCAACAACAGAAATAACAGGAACCCCTTCGCAGGCAATTGCCGATATGACGCAGTCAACTGTAGCTACAACATCCGTTCAATCAGCAAATACCAGTCAGAATCCTATTGATGAGTACGACGTAAAAAATTGTACTACCGAAAGTAAACTAGAGGTGAATAAGTCTTTAACGGGTTCGCACAATGCTTTGAACTTGACAAACGATATGAATTCTTCAACAAGTAGCTGTAAAAGCTCAGCATCCTCCCCGAGCTTCCCCATCAAGCACAAGGGAAGCTCAATCAAACAATTTCCGCGCTCTCCCACTGCTACTGCAGCGAAGAGTATGCCGTTTTTGGAGAAATCCGAATATACGGAACGCATCGAAATTGAACGGAAGAGATCAACAGCAAGTGAGCCAAAATTGGCTTTGTGCGGTTCTCGAAAAACATCAACGGCTGATGAAAAAACCAGCGCAGGTCGCAAAGTCAGCAAATGATGCCATAACCCCCATTAGTGCTAACGTGCATTCAACTCTGACCCCCAATGAAAATAATTCATCCACTGTCGGGGAGATAAATTTTGAACACAACAGCACATTTGATGGCAGCGCAAGCGTTGCACCTTTAAAAGAAGGTAATTTAACTGACAGCTTTGATAAACGTCGTACCTTCACTGTAGCAGCTAGTGTCCCAGAAGAAACAGAGATCCCTGCACAAAAACAAGATAGTGAGAGGGATAAGAGACGCACATTTAACATGCCAAGCTCGGAGAACAAGGAAGACCCAAAAACCAATATATCCGAGGCTGAAGATAAGCGTCATACCTTCAATTTAAAAACGGAAGAACCACAGGCAAATACATCTGAAGCTGAAAATAAGCGCCGGACCTTCAATTTATCTGCATCTATGCCCATATCTAATACCGCAAACAATAAAGATGTGAATATACCTATGGATATAGACTACACATTGCCTCCAGTTTCAACCACTGCTGATAACGATATGGAGACAAAACAAGCGCAAACACCAAACCAATCACCCACAACGACAGTTTATGGTTCACCTCCAATACCTACAATACAAAATCGCACCACGAATGCACCTCTTCCATTAGTGGCATCACCACCAATACCAACTTTGCAGAATCACCAAGGCCACGAGGAGACTTCAAATGTGCCAATACCAGCAGCACCAACCAAACCTCCAACGCCCAAACTTCATATGGATGATGATGCTTTTAAAGTGCCTCTACCGCCGTCACCAGCATCATCCACTGCTTCGCCACCCATGCCTGCTATACAAAAACGTCCCTCCATACATGCATACAAGAATGTAGAAGATGCTGGAGTCGAAGTTCTATCAGCAAAGGAACAAACCAAACGTGATGCCAGTGATGAGAAGGATGTGGTTGCTGGATATTGTACACCTTCGCCCATGGAAGAGCAGCCATGTTCAACAAGCACTTTTGGTAGCTTCGGCGAGAGCCCATATGCGGGTGTAGATCAGCAAGAATTTGAAAGTGAGGAATTCCAAAATGGCAACAATAGTGAGTTCGAATCATTCACATTCATACATACATATATTAGCGATACTTTTGGTATTGTCAGTGTATCTTTACGTATATGTGTTACAATCAAAAAATTAATGAAAAACTCTGAAGGTCAATGATATCATCATTTGCGTGATCATCTAGCATGCGTCATAATTGTAGTCAGCACCGCATTATTCCTTCCTTTATTCCTTATGGCCAACAAAATGACACCACCCACCCACAATATTTTCTTTTTTTACTTCTTTATATTTATTTGATTACCTTTATGCTTCCGAAATAGCTTACTTTTAATTGTATTGCGGAAAAAGCTACACTGCCCACTCCCAGCATGTTTTCTTTAAATCGTCTACACAATCTACCTTCACGCTACACGAGTCCTTCCAGAGTATGTATGTACATTCGACTACATAGCATGTAAATAACCCCAACAGTTGCTGCTTGTCGTATACCATTCAGCTTTTTCATTTCATTGCATTCGCATAAAAACAAATCAAGGGCAGCTATTGAGGAATTCGCTGAGCAATGCAGTAATGCTACCTACCACTTTTACTAGTTATTTGCTATAGCTGCATGGAGGTCGATGGTGTCCTTTTACTCGCAAAAACAACGTCTATTGACTTTTGAACTTGAAAGTGAGAGAAAAGCCCTTGACTAATTTACATTTTATGTAGTACGTCCATACATATATCGGGTGGTCGTCACGATACCAGACCAAACAAAAGTATTACATACCTATACATAGTTTTAGCTAATGATGCTGAACTAATCGATATATCATGTAAAAATGTTAGGCAAACATTTTTTAAGCTTTTTAAAATTCCAGTTTTTTGGATTAAAAAGGTCTTATCAACGAGTAATATGTGGACATGTACAGCTGCGATAAAAAAGCACCAAAATTCAAAATGATATTAGGTGTATTCGCGTATTCTTCAAGCAGAAAACTCCCAACAGCAAAATTGAAATGCATTTTTCTCTATTCTCTCTCAAGGAGATAAATGTTTGCAAAAGTACGCGAACGCAAAACTAGCAAAAACTTGCAACTTTTAGTACAACATACCAAAGCATAAAACGGAAAACATGAAAAGAATATAAATTAAAGGTTTGCCTAAAACAATTTGTTGATAAAAAGTAAGTAAATGATTATTTGCTTTCTACCGAAACATTTGCAGTTCTAATAGGTTATTTTAAAGTTAACAAGTAATTTTTAAGCATAAAACAAAACCGACTTCAATTCTCATATACAAATTTAATATTATCGTAAATTTTTTACGATCCAATTTTCGGATCTAAACAAAATTAGTATGGGACCACCCTTGGGGAACCAACTTTCCGATGAAAAAAGAATTATCGAAATCGGTTAACGTGGTCCAAAGTTATGCGGTAAAATACATAAAAAAAATATCCCGATGACTTTGATCAGCTGTTTTCTTGCTGCCATAATTTTTTGCAGCAGGAACTAGAAACTTCTGATTAAAATGAAATGTCAGTTTGGTCTCTCAATTTCCCCTACTTTGCTGGATTTTGTGTACGAGAACAGCTAAACCTGATAATTTTTGATAGTTATTAAAAACTATCAACACGCGAATGCACCTATTGTTTGCAACTGCCGTTTATTTAATTTTTTTTTAATTACTTTCATTTAAAATATTTCGACCTATAACAGAAAGCACAGAAATAAAGTTTCAAAGCTTACACAAACTTCACACAAATTTATAAAATTTCAAAAAATTGCATAAAAATTTTAAACTTTTTATCTAGAATTTTTAGTTTTATAGCTTATTCAATTTAAGTGTAATAAAGTGGTATTAACGCATCAACAAATTTTATTTTAATATGGACAAAAATCTCATACCCCCGGCAAAAAAAAAAACTGAAAAATCACTGTAATCGTTAGCCTCTTGAAAATTGCACTTTATTACACTTAAATTGAATGGGCTACAAAACTGTATACTCGAAAACTTTCCAAAAATTCTAGATGAAAATTTGAAATTTTTTTACTTAATTTTTGTGAGCTTTGAAACATTTACTTATGTAGTTTCTGTTACGTTTTGAATGAAAGTTATTAAAAATAAATAAACACAAGTTGCAAACAATATCATTTTGAATTTTGGTGATAATGTTTTGACCGCAACTGTACACTTCTCGTTTTTTTTTCCGTGTTATTTTTCTTTAGTTTAATTTCCATTATTTTTCAATTAAATTTCCATTATTTTCCACTGTAAAGAAAATTTCATGTTATGAAATGACACAAAAAACGCCGAAACACGTTAGCTTAATTTAGGGTCGTAAATACGGCCCTGTATACCGATTTTCTAGATCAGGTAACTTTCGCAAGATATCTTCATTTTAAGTTTGTATTGTGAAAAAAATGGAAATTTTTACAAGGAAAAAAATAAAAATAAAAGATTTGTTTGTAAATTCTTTAAATTGGTGTTAAAGCCTGTTCTTTTACAAAAACATGAAGCTATCAACGAAAATAATTGATTGATAAATTATTGATTGATTGATAATATTGTAGTAAATGGTTTAATGAAAATGCGTAATAATTTCTTTACAAAATGTTTCCATCCAAGTTTATGATTTCATTAATAGTTCATAAATGGAATATGAGTAAACTTCTTTCTTTTATTTTTTAGATATGATAGGTGGCAACCCTAATCAAAAATACTTTTTCTTTCGCTTGACACTGATATTTTAATATTTCATATAACTTGTGTATATTTAACTAAATTTGACTTTTCAAATAGCTGACAACCCTCTTAAAAAGTATTTTCAAACTAAAGTCTTAAATCTCTTTCGTCTGACATTGTGATACATATAAATGATATATGATGTGTTTTTCAATAAAATTCTGAAATGAGGCGTTGTTGAAAAATTGTGCGAGATTTTGCGAGGGCGTTTTCGAACTGGCTGCCGAGATAGGTCGATCTTCCACTCAGCCATCGATATATTCTAAAAATAGAATATTAACTAAAAATAACAACAATCACATGATGAAGTCTAAATAGCGAAAAAATATTTGTCCTTGATTGTAGTTGGCTTGACTAAATGAAAAAGTGGAAAAGGCAACACCAGTTTACACGGCGAACTTAGCTCAATAGCTTTGAACGCCGGAGTTGCCGATCCATGTCCCAGTGTACTCGATAAAAAAGGCTGATGAAGAGATGTAATCTCCGAAAAAGCAACTATAACTTCTACCAAAATATAAATTATTGCTGTTTTTACACAAAAATTTTCGATAATAGTTCAATAAAAACATTTCAAATATGAGCTTATAAAATATGTAGTTTGATTCTAACTATTGCGACAGATGGCGACCCCTTCATGAACCTCAAATATGTTCTAAATTTTAACACTCTCTCATTTGACACCGATATTTTAATATTTTATATAACTCGTATATAATTTAATCAGATCCTACTTTTAAATAAGTGGCAACCCTCTTCGAAATATTTTCAAACTGCAACCTTTTTAAACTTCTCATCGGGCACCCATATTGTCACACATATTTCTATTACCAATTTCCTTAATTAAAGTTAACTTTGTAAATAGGTGGCAGCCCTCCTACATGTATATAGTTTGGAAATGAAGCCTTTCCAAAACATTTCGATTGATGCCCATCTTTTAAAAACACACCACACAACAGCATTTCTGATGATAAGTTTATGTTACATAATACTACCTTAATTTTTAATGACGATTTCAAATCTGCGATTGAAATTTTTTTATCAGCTCTAGTTTAGACACATGGTGTGCGAGCATTTTTTCCATACAAAGTATTTTCGAAGATTTTTTATATTTGGAAAAATCAGCGTGAAAAACATTTCCAAAAATCAACTATAAAGTCCTAGCTATTTCAAACTTGCACTTTGTTGTAAAATTTATAAAAAAATATAAAAATCTGATAAAAAGTTGAAAATTTGCATGAAAGTTTATTGAGTTTTGCACAAAGTTTAGAAATAATATTTTTAGGTTTTTTATAGAATGAACGACATTTTTTTTGTAGTCTGAACCATATTTTTAAGATTGATTGTTACATATTGTAAAAAATTTTCTGTGCCAATACTTTTGTCCGGCAGTGTAGTTAATCTAATTTTGTTAAGATCTTATGTTGAAAAAAACTTCCTTTTATAAGACTTCCATGCAGAAGTTGCAGCCATATAGCTGTTCGAAATGCTCCAACAATGTGTGCGTTTCAGAGACCTTAATAGCGTACCTCCAACGTACAAAGATGAAAGCTACAACTCGTAAACAAGAGCGCCTGGAAATCAAATAAGGATATATTTAGAATCAGCGTCGTCGAATTAGTAAACATCATCTGTCATAAGTCATTCATAAGGCCAAAAGTGCAATTTTGTTGGCTAGTGTAATTCATCAACTTATTCAAAATTTTGTAAATAAAGCCATAATAATATAATAGAGTGTTAGTGTTTGGCCGATCTTTTCCTCAGATTTGTAACGTATACATATACGAACGAATGAACTCATATGTAGGTGGGAGTGGCTAAGGTAATTTCATTGACATCCTTGTTACAATTGTATAGCAAGCTTATATCGCGCATTTACTTCATAGTGTTATAACTCAAAAAAAAAAAAAACTCGAGAGAAACGACTTTAAAGTTTTCAATTTACATATCGATACGTGAGTGGAAGATCGCCCTATCTCAGCAGCCAGTTCGAAAAACGCCTTTTCTCAGAAAACTTTCCCAAGAACGCCCTACTTCAAAATTTGATTGAAGAATGCCCTATTTCAGAATTTCATTGATGAACTTCTTGATTCTGAGAATGGGCGTTTTTGAAACAAATAAAATTCTGAAATAGGGCGTTCTTCAAATTCTGAAGTAGGGCGTTCTTGGAAAGTTTTCTGTGATAGGGCGTTTTCGAACTGGCTGCCGAGATATGTCAAGTTTTCTCTCAGGTGTCGATATAGTCCCATAGTAAAAATTAATACAAATTTTGTTCTAGTGAGAACATAACGTAGCATATCTCGTTTT